ATAGTCAAGTTCCGTAGAGTGGGGAATTTGACGTCGAATATATGTCCGAACAGGCGGGCATTTGACTTTTGACTAAATATAGCGGCCCTTATCTAATTTGCATAAAATAGCGTATTGCAAAAGTCAAATGCCAAAAAGTCAAATGCCCGGGGTGTTGCCCGGGGAAGGGGGGAGGGGGATGGGAACCTTTGGAATTGACCCATACATTATGAGGAAAAAGTGTCAACAAAGATCGGCCTATTCTCTTCTCGGACTATTCAAAACTTTGTGCAAAAATAAAACATCAAACACAAACCCGTCGGTGTTCTTTAAATAAGGATTTATACAGATTGAGCTTTTCTTGTGCAGTAGAATCAGTGATAGATTGTGGCAATTCTACTTTTTCGTAAAATCCTGAATTTAAAATCTAAAAATCACAATAAATTCAGCTTTTATAATTTATTTTCTGTCTTACCACGTTAATAATCCTAACCTTTTCATAGATTTTAAGAATCAATTCAAATGTTTAGTGTTTAGTGTTTTATCTATGAGTGGATGTGATGAAATTTCCCACCTTTTTTCAAGTTTCACCCTTTGAAGAAAATTCAAAAAGCAGATAAAAAGGTACCTTTTTCGCCGTTTTGCGAGCTGAAAAATGCAAGTACTAAAAGGTACCTTTTTTATCAAAACTAGTCACTGCAGTATTGTTAATTAATTATAATTGAAAAACCAAAGCCAAATGACGCCATCACATGTTTATTTTCCCTTCAATTTCATGAGTACAGCTATGCTTCTTCCTGAAAAGCCTCTAATGACCTTAGGAAGAGATTGCTTATAGGATTAGCTTATTTGTTGGTATGAGCAATTTGCATACAGATATATTTTTTGAAATTGTTTCAAGGTTGGCTTCTAAAACTCCATGTTTAATTTCAGCTTATACTCGTAGTTTCCTGTCTAACGAACGGCCTTATTACAGTAATATTAAGTTTAAATACAACTAATATGTCACATTATTAACAGTAGTCACATGACTTTTCAGGGGGGAAATCATAATTTTGAATTGACATGAAACATAGTCTATTAGCAATATTGGTTAGAAATAAATATGGGGAAAAGTTATTTGGCATTGCGTTTTCAATTATTGGAATCAATAATTATGTAGTTAGTGACCGCAACTCGCAAAACCGAAAAAAAGGTACCTTTTTATCGGCATA